TTAGCCCCTCTGTGGCTTGGCTTGTTGGGGACCTTCCTGCCCCCCCCCACGGATGACCTGGGCAGGTCTGTACGGGCTCGATCCTCAGCTAGGATGGTTTCAAGTGAAGGTGGACATCAAGAACAACAACAACAGAAGGCCCTGCCCAGACGCTCTTTGAACCCTGCTGTTCTGACCTAGGCTTCACAAAATCACGAAGCAGACTCTTTGACCCTTGTTCCTTAACTCTTCCCTTCTGGCAGCTCTGTGCATGCACACACTGGGAACAGGCTCCAGCTATTCTTCTTCCCCACTGATCTCCAATGGCAGCTGATAAGTGTTGGATGGCCCTGGCCCTATCCTTCCCCAGATTCAAGGACTGGCCCATGCTCCTCCCCAACCTCCTCACTGTCTGAGTCTGCCGCCAGCTCTGCGGGCCACAACACCTGCCAATACCCTCCCATCGCCAAACATCTTCTGCACCTGTCCAATTGTGGCAACTCTGGATTTAGAGATGGATCAGAATTGATTCTGGAAAGCTTTTGCAACATGTTGCTTTCAGCTCTCCTGACGGGAGGTTTTGCTTTCTGCTAAAAGGACACCAGGTCCCCCGGGAGGGTTTGAAAAACACCTGTTTCTCTTGTAATAACACCCCTCTGCATAACCTCACTGCGTACACCTCCTGATGGGCTTCAGGTACCACGCCTACCTGTTCCTCTTTGGCAAATAGGCCTCCATGTCGAAGAAAACATTCTGGTGATCGCGGATCTGGTTGTTGATCTGCAGGATGAGCTCCGTTTCTGAGCTGCCCTGGCTGTCGCATCTGGACGTTGGGGAGGGAAGGAACACAAGCATAGGTGTGTACAAAATAAGAGCCTGCCAGCCAATCACAGCAGCTGAAAGCAGTAAGCAAGGTGTCAACTCATATTTTCTATGGTCATAAAATGGGGCAAAACTCAACAGCCTTGTTTGAGCAAGGGCAATTGCGTCTTGCATAGCAACGGAAGCTTTGGGCTGAACTGTGGACATTAAGTCCAGGACCTGCCTGTATTAACTGTGGCTATTGCACCCAAGGTCCTTTGTACGTGCTCAGGAGCTAAAAGACAATTTCTCTTTTAACCACAACTCACTTGATAACCGTCATAAAGCAGGGCAGGATTCACTTAACAAAGGTCTCCCCTGGCAATAGTAACGGTGGTCGTAAGTCTACCTGTCAACTCATAAAATATTTCTCTGGTCCTTTTAGGGTTGCCAACAGACAGGGAGTAGGGAGCAGTGGGCAACCTGCGTTCCATAAATAGTTTTTCAAAGATAGTTTCTAGGTGACTGAAATTTCTGCCGTGCAAAAATCTAACTGGAGAGCATGATTGATGACTCTGGGCTATGGAGGTGTCCCATTGGAGAATAGGAATTATGATACACCCAGGGGGTGGGTGGAAAACCAGGGTCAAGGGGGACGATGAATGATGTGTCTCAGAGTCGGCTACACCCAGGCAATGCCGGCATGTTCGCTCCTAATAAATCTCAAAACTTTGGAAGTTGGCTTGAGACTCATGATTTAAATGGTGGTAACTGCCGGAGTCTTGACAGCTAGGCACATCATTCCTTGTCACACTTGACCACGGTTTTCATCCATCCGCCCCGGCTGTATCATAATTCATATTCTCCAATCACTTTTCCAGGTAGCCCTTGACACAATTGAGAGGCCAAGATTGGCACTGCTAAGCACGGCAGTTGTTCAATGAGCCGTGCACGTTTTTCTTGCCACGGTTATTAAACGAATCACTACAGTTGTTAAGTTAGGAACACGTTTATTAAGTGAATGGGGCTTCCCTCACGTGATCCTGGGGATGCTACGGCCATCGTAAAGACGGGTCAGCTGCCAAGCGCCTGAATTTCGATCACATGATCACACAGACGCTGCAACGGTGGCGCGAAAAATGGCCGTAAGTCCCTTTTTTCCAGGAACTTCGGTCACTAAACAAACCGCTGTAACCCGAGGACTACCTGCATGGGGAAGACATTTATTACCTTTTAAAGTTTTTCTGCAACTCCTTCAGCCTCTCTTTCTGCTTCTTTAGGAAACTGCTGCAGGCCGCCTGCACGCTTGTGAGCTCCTCCAATTTCTGCTTGTAAATTTTGTGGGTTTCCTATAAATGTTTAAAAGGCGCATCAGATTCAGAGCAGCAGGAAATTTATTTTAAATGAGAGGCCTTAACAACAGGACATTTGCCGGTTTAGGTTTCTATGAGTTCGGTCGGCGCCAATTCCATCTTAACTTGAAAAAATAAGGAACGACATCAGGATTGGTTCCATGGGAGGATTCCCCCTGGCACCATTTCCTAAATTTATTAAATATTTATGTCAGGGGTCTTCAAGCTTGACAGCTTTAAGACTTGTGGACTTCAACCCCCAGAATTCCTTCTCCAGTCATGTTAGCTCAGGAATTCTGGGAGTTGAAGTCCACAACTCTTAAACTTGCCAAGTTTGAAGACCCTTGGGATAAATGGTTGGAAGGGACCTTGTGGGCCATCTAGTCCAACCCCTGCGCCCAAGCAGGAGACCCTACCCCAGGGGTCTTCAAACTTGACAGCTTTAAGACTGGTGGACTTCCAACTCCCAGAATTCTCCTTCCAGTCATGTTAGCTAATGAATTCTGGGAGTGGAAGCCCACGAGTGACTTTTCAAATCTGACCCCTTGGTCCTTTAAACGTGAGTCCTTTTTTAAGGGAGTCGTGACAGAAGCTTTTGTCAATCAGAGAAGGAATTTAGCGGCTGGGCAACCGGGAATTTTTTTTCCCTAAAGAGGTCACTTGGTGAAGGACAAGTATCAGGTGGACACCAGAGACAGGGCAAGCCGAGGGTAGGCGCAAAGGACAGCTGCCAACCACCATCGTCCTTTCAAATTTCAAAGGCCATATCAAATGTTCTAGCGTAGGGGTCTCTCCAACCTTGGCAAGTTGAAGTCCACAAGTCTTAAAATGGCCAAGGTTGGAGACAGTGGTGGGATTCAACCGGTGTAACAATCGGTTCGGTGAATACTGCCCAATTTCAACTCTACAACTTACCTTCGGCTGCAACCCCGGTGAGAAAAAACAGCTGAGGCGCAGCTGTGCCCCGCAAATCAGCTGGGCTGCAAAACACGGGTTTTTCACAGTCAGAATTCTCTGATTTTAAAATGTATTAAATCCCACTCAATTAAAATTAAATTAAACAGGACTTCACACAGTGGAGGAAGTGCAGAGGAAGAAGTCCCAATGTTGGTCATCTGCCTTCCCCTGCCTTCTGAGAGACTAGGCCAGGGGCCGGGTCGGGCCAACTAATCGCCGGAACAACCGGTCCGCCTGAACCAGTTCAAACCGGTTGAATACCACCTCTGGCTGGAGACCCCTGTTCTAGGGCAAGGGTTTTCAAAATGGGCAAGTTTAAGACTTGTGGACTTCACCCCCCCCCCCCCGAATTCCTGAGCTAACATGACTGGAGAAGGAATTCTGGGAGTTGAAGTCCACAAGGCTTAAAGTTGCCAAGTTTGAAGACCCCTGATCTATCACCTATCACTTTATCTATCATCTCTCTCTCTCTCTGTACCTACCTACCTATGTATCTATTAAACTATCATCTATCTATGTATGTATGTATCTATCACAAGGGTCTTCAAACTTGGCAAGTTTAATACTCAACCCACTGCTTTCCTTACACCCCACCCCCTCCAGTCAATCTTCCTTTAAAGCCCACCCCCAGAACTCCAACCCAGGCCGGGCTGGGCTCTACCTGCCGGCTGGGGATGATGGGTATGGGAGTCATCTGAATTCCAGCTGCTTTGTCAGAAATGGGGTAGGCTCTCCCGCTTGGGCGGGGGGGAGGGGGAGGTTGGACTAGATGACCTACAAGATCCCTCTGATGATCTGTTCTCTCCCAAGGAGGGATTTCGGGCAAATCTCAGCCTTTTCCAGCTCTTCCGGGGGGGGGGGGCGGCTTCATTGTGGGGGGGGGGGGGGGGGGGGGGGGGGGGGGCCCCCCCCCCACCCCCCCCCCCCCCACTCCCTGCGAATGGCCCTACCTGGAGCTGGTGGAAGTCATCCTGCAGCTCCTGCCAGGCGTCCAGGGCGTCCTGCATGGCGCGGGGCCGGGACCCCCGCAAGACCCCCCCTACGGCTTCCAGCCCCGCAGCGCGTTGATGCAGGCCCCGCCCCTCGGCCCCGCCCCCTCGCCGCACCGCAAGGTTAATTCATCGCCGCTCCCTCCCCCCCCTTGGGAACGCCCGACGGCGCAAGCGCGGCTCCTCGGTTGTGTATCCCCCTCCTCGACTCCGCCTACTCGGAACCGATTGGCTGAAATTCAGACAATCTCTTTTCAGCCCCCCCCCACCCTTGGCCACGCCCCCAAGGAGGCCACGGGCCCCGCCCACCCCCGGTTAACCCTTCGCTCGCCGCCCTTTGACACCGTGCGCGGGAATCGGAGAGGCGGTTGGGGAAAGGGGAGGACGGGGGAGGGGACGGGACGGGACAGGAAGAAAGGGAAGGGAAAGGGGGGAAAAAGATGAAAAAGAAAGAAGGGAAGAAAAGGAGAAGAGAGGAGAGGGAGGAAAGGGAAAACGAAAGAAAGGAGGAAAGAAAGGAAGATAGAAGAGGAAGAGAGGAAAGGAAAATGAACTGGAAAGAAGGAAAGAAAAGGAGAGGA